ATGTGATCCCTATCAAACTACCAATGGCATTCTTCACAGAATTAGAACAAACAATTTTACAGTTTGTATGGAAACACAAAAGACCGCGAATAGTAAAAGCAATCTTGAGAAAAAAAAAACGGAGCTGGAGGAATCAGGCTCCTCAACTTCAAATTATACTACAAAGCTACAGTAATCAAGACACTATGGTACTGGCACAAAGACAGAAATATAGATCAATGGTACAGGATAGAAAGCCCAGAGATAAACCCATGCACATATGGTCACTTAATTTAAGACAAAGGAAGCAAGAACAGACAATGGAGAAAAGACAGCCTCTTCAATAAGTGGTGCTGGGAAAACTGGACAGCTACATGTAAAAGAATGACATTAGAACACTCCCTAACACCATACACAAAAATAAACTCAAAATGGATTAAACACCTAAATGTAAGACCGGACACTATAAAACTCTTAGAGGAAAACATAGGAAAAACACTCTGACATAAACCACAGCAAGATCTTTTTTGACCCACCTCCTAGAGTAATGAAAATAAAACCAAAAGTAAACAAATGGGAACTAACTAAACTTAAAAGCTTTTGCACAGCAAAGGATACCATAAACAAGATGAAAAGACAACCCTCAGAATGGGAGAAAATATTTGCAAATGAAACAATGGACAAAGGATTAATCTCCAAAATACACAAACAGCTTATGGAGCTCAATATCAAAAAAACAAACAACCCAATTAAAAAATGGGCAGAAGACCTAAATAGACATTTCACCGAAGAAGACACACAGATGGCCAAGAGGCACATGAAAAGATGCTCAATGTCACTAATTATTAGAGAAATGCAAATCAAAATTGCAATGAGGTATCACCTGACACCGATCAGAATGGCCATCATCAAAAAATCTACAAATAAAAAATGCTGGAGAGGGTTTGATGAAAAGGGAACCCTCTTGCACTGTTGATGGGAATGTAAATTTATTCAGTCAGTAGGGAGAACAGTATGGTTGTTCATTAAAAAACTAAAAATAGAACTACCATATGAGCCAGCAATCCCACTGCTGGACATATACCCTGAGAAAACCATAATTCAAAAAGAGACATGTACCACAATGTTCATTTACAATAGCCAGGACATGGAAGCAACCTAAACGTCCATCGAAACGTTTAGGTATATGTGATGTGGCACATATATACAATGGAATATTAGCCATAAAAAGAAACGAAAATGAGTTATTTATAGTGAGGTGGGTGGACCTAGGGTCTGTCATACAGAGTGAAGTCGGAAAGAGAAGAACAAATATTGTATGCTAACACACATACATGGAATCTAAAAAAAATGGTACTGATAAACCTAGTGGCAGGGCAGGAATAAAGATGTAAACATAGAGAATGGACTTGAGGACATGAGGGGGGTTGGTGGGAGCTGGAAGCTGGGACAAAATGAGAGAGTGGCATGGACATATATACATTACCAAATGTAAAATAGATAGCTAGTGGGAAGCAGCCTCATAACACAGGGAGATCAGCTCGGTGCTTTGCGACCACCTAGAGGGATGGGATAGGGAGGGTGGGAGGGAGGCTCAAGAGGGAGGGAATATGGGGCTATATGTATGCATATGGCTGATTCACTTTGTTGTACAACAGAAGCTAACACAGCATTGTGAAGCAATTATACTCCAATAAAGATGTATAAAAAAAAGAAAACAAAGAAAATGTTTGCAAACTTGAAAAAATATATATAATTATAGAGCTAGTTATGAAAGATCCTCTAAGTTGCTATGAAGGTGGCTAATCTTTTTAATTAGCAGAGGAATAGGGTAGGGAACACGCCTACTGTGTCTGCTGCTGTGTATCTAGCAGCCGTCAGAGTACCTGGCCAAAATAGGTGCTCAGTAAATACTCATGGAATGAATGCTAAGGGATTGTATGGATTTTTGAATCAGAGAGATTTGGTTTGAATCATAGCTCTGTACTGGAATCGTAATAATCTCTATCTCCAAAGGTTATTAAGAAGATTGAAAGAGGTAACACATGAAAAATATCTGGCACATGTATTTTCCTTAGTGCTGTTCATACTTTTGCTAATTTCATAACATTACATGTTACAATCAAATAGTATTCCAAATGACAAGATTAATAAACTGCTGCATGTTTTCTACCTGAATGTAGAGAGACTGTACATGTAGTAAAATCCTACTCAATAAATCTTTGGCTGATATACCATTAGAACAACCAAAGTGTTCAGAAAAAGTATTTCCTACTTCAAGGATTTTTAGAGAAGTCTGTATTGCTCATTTAGTTTTGCTGCACATGGCTTTCAGTTGTCTTTTTAGCTAGTGACCCTGGATTTTAACTAATGAATTCCAGCTGTTCTTATTTATTTATTTTTTTGCGGTACGTGGGCCTCTCACTGCTGCGGCCTCTCCCGCTGCAGAGCACAGGCTCCAGACACGCAGGGCCAGCGGCCATGGCTCACGGGCCCAGCCGCTCCGCGGCACGCAGGATCCTCCCGGACCGGGGCACGAACCCGTGTCCCCTGCATCAGCAGGCGGACCCTCAACCACTGCGCCACCAGGGAAGCCCACAGCTGTTCTTATTTTGCCTTTCAGCCCTTCTCATTTAACCTCCTGTCTCCCTGGTCTCACATCCTTAAAGTTCTTACAGGAAAAATGGGACAGTGCCAAAGTTTTCAAATGAGGCCTCATGTCTTCTTGAGGGGAGAGGGCTCCTCTATGAAGGGCTCTCAGCTTTTACCCTGGCGGAAAAAGAAACATCCATTGTTGGAAACTGGATGCCTAACAACCTCAAATGTGTCAAAAAAAATCCTTTGTGGTTTTTCATATTAAACAAGCAAAGCATTCAGTAAGGTAAGTCCATAAAACAGACCAAGAAAGTCCAAAGTTGAATACTAAATGTAATTGCAAACACCTGTGATGGAGAGGCAATTCCTCGGTAAATATGCAATAAAAGAAACATTGAGCATACAGAGCAATACGCATCCAGTTTTTCTGAACCATGCTAAGAACCATCTGTTAGCAAAACTGGCAAAAGTTTTCACTGTTAAAGTCAAATGTCATCCCGAAAAAGTTGGCTGTGGGCAAAATCTGAGCGAGGCAGGCCTGAAGCAACAGGCAAGCTCAGCTCACAAAGGAAACACCAGGAGAACAGGGTGAACCTGGGCCTAGAGACCCTCCCCTTATGCTGGTGACCTGGGGATGTCTATTATGCTCAGAAATCCTCTTTAGCCTATCCACACATCTCTTTCTAAATCTGATTATCCTTTCAGGGGGACCACTAATACATACATCAGTAAGTACAGCTTCCATTATATTAAACACTTAAGGCCACACTTTCCTCCAGAATGCACCTGATCCTACCAGGCTGAATCCCCGGCTAACCTGATAGCCATTTGGCCCTTCTGCAGAAATTCAAAATGATGTATTTCCCAGGGGCTCTGGAAGACTTTTGAAAACGGCATCAAATTCAGTTATAAACTCATTTTCTGAATTCCTTTTTCCATGCCTGTTTGCATGACCCATCCTCCCAAGCTCAGTTCAAAATCTATTGACTCTATTAGCCACATTGAGACTGACTTGCTCTCATCTCAGTTTACAAGGTCTTTGTTACCTCCATCATAACACTGGTTGCAACTTGAATCATCTGCTCTGTTACAACTGAAAAGATAGAGAGCAAAGATCAGGCTTTTTCTTCTCATTCTTCACAACACCCAGCAGCATGCTTTGCATATAGGATGTGCTCCATAAAGAAGGGAAGATGAAGTAGTTAAAAGGGAAGAAAGAAAGACCAGGGAGAAGCCATTTCTCTGGGTTTTTGATGAAATGAATAGCAATCCTGTCATCATTTTATTTCAAATGGCTTATGTAAAAAGGTTAATAAATTGCATTTTAATGATTTGTTTTCACTATACTGGCTTCTTGATTTTTAAATTATAAATTGTTAGTTATCTTGATGGTGAACGAGACATCACTAAGGGAAAGTAAAAAAAAATGGAATAATAATAATAGCCAACATTTGTTGAACTATGAAGATAAAACTCTGTGATTAGTGTTTTATATGTATATTCTCATTTAAGCCTCATAACAACTCAGTGAAATAGGTATTATTATCCTCTTTCTGCAATAAACTGAGTCTTAAATAGGAAAAGTAATCTACCCATGGTCACACCACTAGTAACTGGTATATCTAAGATTCAAGCTCAAGTCTATCTGATGCCACCAGACTTCTCATCCACTTGCTCTACTGTCCAGGGTTCAGAGAAAATACAGGCATAACACTAAAAATACACGTTTTCCTAAGGAGTTTTTCAAATGCTATCTCAACAACTTTTTTTCAGGCAAACTGCTTACTGAGATTTGTGTGAGTATATTATTTACTTTCTCTTTTGTATGGCTTTTTCTAGGGTTATATAGATACAGCCTTAGCACTTAGCATGGGACCAAACTTGCAGAAGATATTTAGTAAATACTCACTGAGTTCATAGTTTGGGTCAACTAATATAATAGTTTTGAATTCTAATTTCCTCAGGAATAAGTAATAAAATGATTTGGAAAACTGGTGTGAAGAATAAAATTGCAATTATAACATTACTTCTATAAATATAAAAAGCCAGGGCTTCCCTGGTGGCACAGTGGTTGAGAGTCTGCCTGCCGATGCAGGGGACTTGGGTTCGTGCCCCAGTCCGGGAGGATCCCACATACCGCGGAGTGGCTGGGCCTGTAAGCCATGGCCGCTGAGCCTGCACGTCCGGAGCCTGTGCTCTGCAACAGGAGAGGCCACAAC